GTATTACCATAGACACAATCCTAAACCTTGTGGACAGCCTTCCCAGACGAGCTGAAGCTGTTATAGCTGCAAAGGATGGGCCAGCTCAATATTGAACCCTAGGGACAGAGTTGTAATCTATACAACTCTGCCCTCCTGCTCTCTTGTAGCCCTCCTTTAGTGTGAGAAGTTTCCTTGCTAGGCATGTGTCTCTGCTATGCATTCCTAGTTGATTAATTTTCAATACCTCCACCCAACTCAATACAAATTTAGGCCCTTCTTAGGGAAGGCACAGCCAGGGGCAGCACAGCCAGGGGTAGCATTGGCAACTATCATCTTGGCTAAAGTACTGATCGTGGCTTAAGTATTGAGCACTGCACTTCAGCAAATGCACAAAGCGAGAAGCAGACAACTTCAAATACTATCCAGACTACAGGTGACCTGTTTCCCCATCCAATTCTTCCAGCTCTTACCCAGTCTGCTTCTTCATATCATCACTCTGTAGCATGCACTTCCTACTCATCCTTCTCACAGCTGTATCCTCTCTCTTCAAACTCTCTATCCTTCACCCCTCTTCTCCATCCCACAGCTTATATATATCACCCTCACTCCTGTCTTCACCTTATTGCTGTACTCATCAACTCTAATACTAATAAAACCTCCAGGACACTGGGACCTATCCCTCCATCTAAGTCATTTTCCCATATTACCTCTCTCACCCTTCTGTTTCTCCTAACATCTGGAGATATTTCCCCAAATCCTGGACCGCCATCTTTTTCCTTTGACCAATACACCCGGCACACCCTATCCTCTAACAGCAGCCGCAATTCACATAATCTGGTTACTATTCCTCTTCTTCCTAGAATCAGCCTCCCCTTTTTCTGTGCCCTTTGGAATGCCCACTCTGTCTGTAACAAACTCACCTCTGTCCATGACCTTTTTATTATTATTATTATTATTATTATTATATACAGTATTTATAAAGCGCCAATAGTTCGCTCAGCGCTGTACATTATAAAGGGGGACAGAACATGTGACAGAACAATACCAATACAATGCAAAACATGAGGGGATCGAGGGCCCTGCTCTTTCAAGCTTACAATCTAGGAGGGAGGGGATGGTGGCACAGGAGGAGATAGCTGTGGGGGATGGAGTGGTAGGAAGAGTGGAGGAGGTCGGCAAGTTAGCAGGGGGCGGGGTAGGCTTCCCTGAAGAGATGGGTTTTCAGGGTGCGCCTAAAGGAGAGGAGAGTAGGTGATAATCTGATGGGTTGGGCAGGGAGTTCCAGAGGATGGGTGACACCCTGGAGAAGTCCTGGAGGCGGGCATGGGAGGAGGAGACCAGGGAACTAGAGAGAAGGAGGTCTTGTGAGGAGCGGAGTGTGCGTGCTGGGCGGGTACTTGGATATTAGGTCAGTGATGTAGTTCGGGGCAGTATGGTGGACAGCTTTGTACGTCAGCGTTAGGATTTTGAATTTGATCCGTTGCGCAATCGGAAGCCAGTGGAGGGATTGGCAGAGGGGGGTGGCGGAAACGGAGCGGTTGGAAAGGTGAATGAGTCTGGCAGCCGTATTCAGGATTGACTGAAGCGGGGATAGCCAGCGGCGAGGCAGGCCAGTGATGAGGGAGTTGCAGTAGTCGAGTCGTGATATGATGAGGGAGTGGATGAGCTGTTTAGTGGTTTCTGGAGTTAGGAACGTGCGGATTTTGGCGATGTTGCGGAGGTGGAGTCTGCACGAGTTTGTTAAAGAGTGGACTTGGGGCTTTTATCACAAATCCTTTAACCTGCTTGCAATTACGGAAACCTGGCTTTATGAATCTGACTTTCCCTTTCCTGCTGCCCTCTCCCATGGTGGTCTCCTCTGGACTCACTCTCCCAGGCCTAGTGGATGGAAAGGAGGTGAAGTTGGATTCCTCCTATCCCCACAAATCACTTTTCAGGTCCTTTATTCACCTCCCTCTCTGTCCCTCTCCTCATTTGAAGTTCACTCTATTTGTCTATTCTCTCCAGTTTCTTTAAGAATTGCTGTGATCTATTGGCTTCCTGGACTGGTATCAAGCTTCCTTGATGACTTCTCTGCCTGGCTGCCTTACTTTCTCTCTTCTGAAATTCCCACTATCATTCTTGGTGACTTCAACATCCCTGTTAATCTTAACAATCCTGCTACTTCTAAACTCCTAAGTCTAACCACTTATTTTGACCTCAAACAATGGACACATGCTTCTACTTACTCCAATGGTAACTGCCTCGACCTTGTATTCTCTACCTATGCACTCCTTGCAACCTCACCAACTTTCCTTTTCCTCTCTCTGATCACTCCTTTATTAGCTTCACTCTCTCCTTGGCTTCCTCCTCCTTGTCTTCCAACTACCAGTTACCCGTAGAAACCTTTGCTATCTTAACCCCTCTCTTCTTTTTTCGGCAACAGATTGTCTCTGTGACAAAATCTCAGCCCTGTCCTGCCCCAACCTGGCCACTTCTGTCTGCAACAGTTCACTGTCATCTACCGTGGACACATTGGCCCCGACTGCTACAGCCCTGGCAAACAGACAAAAGCAGATGCCTCAAAAAACGTAGCCGTGCTCTGGAGCGTTTATGGCATAAGACTAAGTCCCAGAAAGACTTCGACCAACATAAATCTGCCCTTCAAAAATACAACTCCTATCTCCACACTGCCAAACAGACCTATTTTATCACTCTCATTAACACCCTCTCACGCAATCCCCGTCAACTCCTTTCTACCTTTAACTCTCTACTTCGTCCTTCATTACCTCCACCCACTAACTCACTCACTGCCCTGGGAGATCGCTAAACACTTCAAAAATAAGATTGATACAATTCATGACAAAATCTCCACTGCACAGATATCTCCCTCACCCTACACTCCTTGTCCACCTGCACAATCTATACTTCCCTTGTTTAACTCAGCTACTATAGAGGTGGTTGGTAAACTTTTTTTCTAAAGCCCACCTAACCACCTTCCCCCTGGACCCTGTTCCCTCGCAAATACTACAGTCACCCTCTGGATTTAAAAAATTAAAATATTTAAAAAAATATATTTAAATAAATGTTTTTCTTATATTTTATAATATATAAAAAAAACACATTTCAACATGCAGTGTATAAATATATATTTGACATTTCTTTGCTAATCAAAATCCCAATATGTGTAAACTGGTTTACGTGAAAATTATAGCGTTTACAATTGGCGGTATATGTACTGGGATTTTTTTTTTAATACTAGTAATGGCAGTGATCAGCGACTTATAGCGGGACTGTGGAGGGCATTCTGACACTGGGGAGAACTGACTTGGTTTCACTGACATCCCCAGTGACACCAATAGAGTGATCAGTGCTAAAAAAAAAAGCACTGACACTGTACTAATGGCACTGGGCAGGAAGGGGTTAACATGTGGGGCAATCAAAGGGTTAACTGTGTGCTGTATTTCCCCCTGTAATCACACTGTTTTGTGTGGCTGTGCTGTGCAGAGCCATACAAAGCAGTGTGCAGGAGCTGAGGGGGGAGATCTGTGTTGTTTACATACAGGTCTCCCCCCCCCCCCGTCAGTGATACTTGGCGATTGCCGTGTGCCAGTGTTGAATCTCTGGCCGCAGCCTGGTGATTGACAGCTGAAGCCACCAATGGCAGCGTGGGTAGGGTGTGTGTACGCATCCCCTACTCGGAAATACAAAATCACATATATATATATATATATATATACTGATTTTGTAGGCCCTGCCGCCCTGTAGCAGTAGTTTAATTACCAGCTTAACCGCCTCCCACCCGCCATATAAGGCAATGAGGGGCGCAAGGCGTTTCTCTTGTTCTGGGAATACGTCATATGACGTCCTCCCATTCTAACCACGTGGACACAGCGGATCACCGATCAACGGAAAGAGCCGAAGATGTTGTCTTGGTCATGTGATCAGCTGTGTCCAATCAGAGCTGATCGCATGTAAATAGGGAAATGCCGGTTACCTGCATTTCTCTCCTTACAAGCTGTCATGCTGACAGCTCGTGAGGAGAGCCGGTAATCGGCATTCCTCGGAGGGGACAAGTACAGGGCTGATCATCAGTGTGCCCTGATGATCAGTGTAGCCCCAGCAGTGCCCATCAATGCCAGCTGTCAGTGCTCATCAATACCACCTGCCAGTGCCCATCAGTGCCTCCCAGTGCACATAATGCCACATATCAGTGCCCATCTGAGCTGCCTTTCAGTGTCACCTATCAGTGCTGCCAATCAGTGCCACCTATCAGTGCGCATCAGTGCTGCCTATCAGTGCCGCCTAACAGTGCCAGTCAGTGCCAACCAGTGATGCCTGTCAATGACCATCAGTGCCACCTACTAGAACCTCCTCATCAGTGCCACCTATCAATGTCATATATGAGTGCTGCCTTTCAGTGCCCATCAGTGATGCCTGTCAATGCCACCTATCAGTGTCCATCAGTGCAGCCTATCAGTGCTCATCACTGCAGCCTCATTAGCGCACATAAGTGAAGGAGAAAAATCACTTATTTACAAAATTTTATAACAAAATCTAAGAAAAAAAAAAAAATTTTTTTAAACATTTAATTTTCAGTTGTTTTTGGTTTGTTTAGCAAAAAAAAAAAAAAAACCCAGAGGTGATTAAATACCACCAGAAGAAAGCTCTAAATAAAAATGTCATATTGGTACAGTGTTGCATGACCGCGCAATTGTTAAAGTGCAACAGCACTGAAGGCTGGCCTAGGCAGGAAGGGGGTATTAGTGCCCTGTAGGTAAGTGGTTAGTCAGCCACAAAATCTGTGTATTGAATATGTGTTCGGGTTTAAAGTGATGAAGTAGCAACCCTTCCCATGTAGTAACCTTCCTCATCACTTCCTTAATACTGTACATAGCGGAATTTGACCTTCACAGGAGTCCCCGCCCCCTCTCGCACTGTCAGCTGACTTCACGCTCCGGTTCACGTGACAGTCCTGAGCTCCGAGCACAGAGGCCAGTAGTGTGTGGAATAGACAGTCAGCTGATAGCGGAGTGATCATGGCGGGCGGTCTGGCGCGGGGAAAGCTGATCGCTGTGATCGGGGACGAGGACACCTGTACCGGCTTCTTACTTGGGGGGGTCGGAGAGCTGAACAAGAACCGGAAGCCGAATTTCCTGGTGGTGGAGAAAGAGACGAGTGTCACGGAGATAGAGGAGACCTTCCGGTGAGTGACCGGGGAGGGAGCTGTGCGGAGGGCGAGGCTGATAGATGTATAGAAAGAGGAAGGGGGCTTTCTTGTCCCCGGAGTGTGAGCACCGAATGAGGGCCCATGTACTAAGGGAGGTATTCCTGGGACTGGGCCCCCCCCCCTCCCCCCCCCATGACTGTACAGGTCCTTCCAGGACTATCCATGGAATGGGCCCCCCCCATGACTACAGCTATCCATAATGGGCTGGCCTGTGCCAGGACTGGGCCCTGTCCTCTTCCTGTGTGAGGAGGTATGGATCCCCCAGGGTGCACCCCCCCCCCACCATGACTGTACAGGTCCTCCTATCCATGGAATGGGCCCTCTGCAGCCTGTGCCAGGACTGGGCCCTGTCCTCTTCCTGTGTGAGGAGGTATGGATCCCCCAGGGTGCACCCCCCCATGACTGTACAGGTCCTCCTATCCATGGAATGGGCCCTCTGCAGCCTGTGCCAGGACTGGGCCCTGTCCTCTTCCTGTGTGAGGAGGTATGGATCCCCCAGGGTGCACCCTCCCCCTACTACCCTTCTATCCCCCTCTACAGCATGACTGTAGGAATGGTCCTTGACTGTACAGGTCCTTGGAATGGGCCCTCTACAGCCTGTGCCAGGACTGGGCTCTGTCCTCTTCCTGTATGGGGCGGTATGGAGCCCCCAGGTACCCCCTCCCAGAATGTCACTTTCCTGGCTGTCACTCTGATCTATGGATTGATCACTGGCCTACAGCTATGTACTGTCCTGTATGATCCCTGGAGTCAGCCAGACATGGAGCATCCTCACATGTCACATGGTAATGGTACTCCCTGGATTCCCCTTCCCCATTTGTACATTGTATGATGATCAGATGATCGGAGGGCTTAAAACACAACATAACATTCTTTCTCTAATTCCAAAATTCAATCTGCTTGACAGAGATGATTCTGCAGTGTATTGGAAGAGACATGCTTGGGCCTGGTTCACATTGATGAGGCTCTTCAAGCTGCGTTTTGCACAGACATGGCAGCCTATTCATTTGAATGGTCCGCCGTGCCTCCTGAAACTCAGGGAGAAGGTTTCTGCAGCAATTTAGAAATCACAGCCCGCATGGGAGCCACAAGCGCAGTGTGGGAGCGACTTCCAGTGTGTGTAGCATGCCATTAGGATTAATACAACTCGCACACACCTACTGCGTTTTTCTTTGCCGGTGGTTGCAGCTGCAGGAATAGGTGCGGTCCCGCAGCAGCAATCACCCACAGACATGAACCTAGCCTTAGGCCGGGTTCACACTTGTGCGGCTCTGCAAGCTGCATTCGGCGCAGCAGTCCATTCAATTTAATAGGCTGCTGAGTTTTCTGAAGGGAAAAGATCCTTGCACTAATTTTGAAAACATTGCCTGCATGGAAACCACAAGTGCAGTGCCATTCTCAGTTCATGGGGGTGTCATTAGGATTAATGGCACCCTCACACAACTCCTGGGTGGCAGTGCATTTTTCTATGCAGGTGGTTGCAGCTGCAGGAACAAGTGCTGTCTTGCAGTCGCAATCATTCTTTTGGGTGTGAACCTAGCCTAATGGCAGTTCCATGTGTGTTTCTTACAGTGCACTACATATTAACTATGCGATCTGCAGCAGGTGTTAATGCAATGGTAGCAACACCCCAAATGCAGGTCACAAATGCAGTGTGTTTGCCTGCACCGGATTGCATGGTACAGAAGTATTTTTGAAAGGTAGGGCATGTACTGCTTTTGGTGCAATCCAGCACTATTTCAGCCCATTTAAATGAATAGGCGAAATGTCATTGCACCCGGATCGCATGTGAACTGCTCAGGAACACACAGTGGGGTTTATTTACTAAAGATGGAGAGTGCAAAAATCAGGCTCACTTCTGCATAGAAACCAATCAGCTTCCAGGTTTTATTGCCAAAGCTTAAAGTGATTGTAAAGGCTGAAGGTTTTTTTTTTTTCTATGTATGAAGGTTTAAAAAAAAAAAAAAAAAACAAACTGTGTGCAGCAGCTCCTGCAGCCCCCCCCCCTATACTTACCTGAGCCTCATCACAATCTAGTGATGTAAATGACAGCCTTGGCTATCTCGAGTCTCTGCCTCCTCATTGGCTGAGACAGCAAGCGGGAGCCATTGGCTCCCTCTGCTGTCAGTCACAGCCAGTCAGCCAATGAGAGCATGGACACACGGAGCAGCGGGTGCCCCCATAGCATGCTGCTTCCTGTGGGGGCACCCGACAGGAGGGAGGTGCCTGGAGAGCCTGCGAGGGACCTGAGAAAATGAGGATCCAGGCTCCCCTGTGCAAAACCACTGAACACAGTAGGTAAGTATAGACATGTTTGTTATTTTCCAAAAAAAAAAAAACATTTAGAATCGCTTTAATTGAACAAGCTGAGGTTAGAAGCTGATTGGTTTCTATGCAGAAGTGAGCCTGATTCTGCACTCTCCATCTTTAGTAAATAACCCCAGTGTGTTGATTCTCTAAAACTGGAGGGTGCAAAATCTGGAGCAGCTGTGCATTGCAGCCAATCAGCTTCTAACTTCAGATTCTTCAGTTAAGCATTTGACAATACAGTAAGTCCTCATGCACACTGGATGTTTTTGGCTTTTGGCCTTTTTTTTTTCTACAGCCAGTAAACTCCCCAGCTTGTTATCCTATGTGTCCATGCGCACATAGACTGTAATCTCAGCGGTTTTTGGCAGGGGCATTTTTTTGTCTGGAACAAAACCCCAGGACTAGTGGATTTCTAGAGGAGTTTTTTAGCTGTAAAAATGCTCTAACACTGAAAAAAAATGTGTTTTGGACGTTTTTATGCGCAAAAAAAAGTGGCTAAACGCTAATGCAAAAACGCTGAAAAACTCAGTTTTAACGTGACTTTACACAGCTAATGTTACCAACGTTATTAGAAAAAACCCAGTGTGCATGGAGCCTAAAACCTAGAAGCTGATTGGCTGCTACACACAGCTGCACCAGATTTTGCCTTCTTCAGTTTTAGTAAATCAACCCCATTGAGTTCCTGTGCTATTCATGGTGTGAACTACTGGCCCTCACAGAACACGTCCATCTAGGGTACAGTAGTCCGAATGTATCCGTACATTGTATAGCCAACAGCATAGAGTGTCAGTAACTCAGTATCTAATGCTGTCGCTGTTTTCTGTATGTTCTTCAAAGCTGTCCACTGTGACATGGCTAGGTTTACCCCAAGTATTCATATTGTGGGACAAGAGGGATTAGTCAATATAGTTGCTAGGTGAGGAATTTCACTTTCAAATACAAAAGGAAAAAAAAAAGAAAAAAAAAGTGCAAATGAGAGTGGGGAAGATAAGTTAGAAAAAATAGCAGATGAGCTCCATTTGGATATTTGTTGTCAGAGCTTTATTGGGCAATTACCATGTGTCAAGATACACAAGGTGTGAAGATCTGGGAAGAGAATATTCTATCCATGGGGACAATACTTGTTCATAGATGTGTGTCCTATCTAACAACGCCACATTTGATTGCACTATTGTCAGGGTAGTGGGTTTTTTAGGTTTCCATTTCTTGGTCTCTCATTCATCCTCCTGATGGTGACTGTACGTGTATAGTACTGGGACAGATTCAACTCTTCAAAATGTTGCACAGTGGTTAGCACTCCTGCCTTGCACCACTGAGCTCCCTGGTTTGTATCTTGGTCAGGACACTGTTTGCATCTTCTCCCTGTGGTTGTACAGGTTTCCTCTGGGAATTTTAGTTTCTCGTTATACCCCAAAGACATGCTGGTAGGTTTATTGGCTGCTGTCTATATTGGCCCTGGTAGGTGTGTACAGATCGCAGTCTGTATGCCAGTCTCAAATCAAGCAGCTGAGGAGTGTTGAGGAAAGACCTGGAACCTACCTTATTAAAAAACAAACAATAAAAACCACCAGGAAAATTGTATGGAATCAATCATATCAGAGATGTGCCCAGACAGCTGACTTGTAGAGACCAGTATATAGATAATGTAGACGGGACAACAGTCATATTGTCACATATAGTGATCAATCAAGCTTCATGTTAGGTTTGCTTTAAAATTGGATAAACCGTCTGATCACTCTGGGCAGCCCCACATTTTTTGTATTCTGTGCACAATTAGAAATGAGCCCTTTACATGAGAGTTCATTATTTATTTTATATATATATATATATATATATATATACACATACACACTAGATTGTAAACTCGAAAGAGCAGGGCCCTCAAACCCCTTGTGTATCATATTGTTCTGTCTCCCATTGTAATGTACAGCGCTGAGCGAACTGTTGGCGCTTTATAAATACTGTATAAATAAATATAATATATATATATATATAATACTTTTGTTTTGTTTTTTTTTTTTACAAGTGTAGTATTATGAGTTTAGCTGATTGTCAAAAAATGTAACCATAACGTTACCAATGATCAATGAAAAGGTTCTACTACACCCTTTGATCAATAGGACTTCTGCTTTTTTTTTTTTTTTTTTTTTTTTTCCACCATACAGTCACATGTTCTGACCACAGTCTTGCAGGTTTTCCTCTCTAATGGGTGTCCTGTGTTTGTGTTCATAACAGAGGCTGAATGTTTACAGTAAATGTTCAGTGTTGGAAGCATCTACAGCATTCTAGATTGTACAGCTTTTATCTTGTACACAATTGTAAGCACATAGATGCATCCTATCCCATACACAGGTCAGTGGAAGGCTCTGGTTTTTAACCCCTTCTTGCCCAGCCATGGCATATCTTTTAATAGTGTGTGTACAGAAGGGTGGGGGTGGAACATGATCAGGAGCCGGTCCCGCTACCGAATGTTGGTGAGGACCAAGAGCTGTCTTTGACAGCTCAGTCTCTGTGCTAGGGGCATACAGTTAGAGCACTCAGCACAAACATCGGCCACCCAGTGACAAGGGCAGCAACAGGTTAAATTACTTCAATTTTCATTTGAGCAGTTTTTGTGGACTTCACTGATGGTATGGTTTTAGTTTACTTTTATTGTTTTTTGTTTATTAAATGTAATTTTCGTATGTTTTCTCTTTGTCCTCCCTTGTCCAGGAGTTTCCTGCAGCGTGATGATATTGGAATCATACTGATTAATCAGTTCATCGCTGAGATGATTCGTCATGCCATCGATGCCCATAATCTCTCCATTCCAGCCGTGCTCGAAATTCCATCCAAAGAGCACCCGTATGATGCAAACAAGGACTCCATACTGCGGAGAGCCAAGGGCATGTTCACTGCTGATGACCTGCGATAACTGCTCTATGTCTGGAGGTTCCTGTTCTGGGTGTTGTGTAACCCTTTCACTTCCAGAATTGTACTGTACACCAGTGACCTGTCACCAGTGGAAGCTGTCTGTATGTGTTGTACTCTTTGGGTTTTTTTGTTGTTTTTTTCCCCCATACAATTTATCTCAAGAGTCTTATCTGTATTATTACACTAACAGTCTGTGTGTAAATATTAGCTCTGATTTGTGACCTGTTTATCCATCTTTCATAACAGATATATGGTTTATTTAAGTTTATCTGCTTCTATAAAATTCTATGATGTACAGGACACATACATAGCACATCAGATTTGCAATGCTCGGCAATGACTCTGCTATAGTGATTGTTCTAAACATATCTTGTGCTTCTTTACCTTCATGTGTCTTGAGCATAAAAATTTCTCTATCCATGCTAAACAGATCTCCCATTCTAGCTGTTACAATCCTAAAGCTGGCATCCACAGCTGTCCGTATACCTGAACAGTGACTGCATCTGGTTGGACATTTTCAACCTGACTCCTTTCACAACACTTGATTGAAAAATCTATTTTTGTTGAGCCGGGCAGTGCCCACAGGGCCACCCACAACTTACGTTTTTGGCCAGTTTAGCAGGAATTGTCCAAAATTCAAGTCCTGTATTGCAGGCTTTAGTTTCTGGAAGAAATGTCTGAGTTGCCCACTATAAGTGGTGTTTTGTTTTTTTTCCCAGAAAATATATTGGTTTTAAAAGCACCTGCTAGTTCAGCCCACTACTGTTCTCTATGTGGCACCTCCTACTGCTTGCACCCTTTGTGTGGAACTGTTCACTCATGCTTTTTCTGCTATAGATGGTGTTTTGGTCCTGAAAACATGCAAGCCATCTGTAAAAATGAATTCATTTTAATTGAGCCTGTTCACATCATGGTTTTGTTTTTGTGCATTAACATACATTAAAGGGCGCAAGTGAAAAGGAAAGGACAGAAACACTTGTATTGTGGTTTTAATGTCTGCCTAATGAACACATTATTGTCATTAATGCTCTTTGCATAATGCATAAATAAACATGCAGCATTATAATGCACTGTTGCATGCTGATAGATGTGAAAGACCTTAAAGTGGAAGTTCAGTAAAAATCTAAGGCTAAACCTACTCCCACCTGCTTTCTAAAACTATTCTATCTGCCCTGGGAAAGAAAAGATGCCTATACCTACCTATTCTGAAGTCACTCTGGTCCGGTCACATGATCTCTCCAGCAGCAACTTCAGTGTAGAGGAATGATCGCCGAACAACGGCTGCAAATGCCTCTACGGTGACATCACCCGTAGGCTTAGTATGGGTCATCTGTTGTGAGCTGACCTTCCTCTACACTGAAGCTGACACTGGAACCAATCATGTGACCGTAGCGGCTTCAGAATAGGTACATATAAAGCATCTTTTCTATCACAGGGTAGATAGAATAGCCTTAGAATGCGGGTGTGAATAGGTTTAGCTTTAGTTAGATTTTGACTGAACTTCCACTTTAAAATATATTTAAAGCCAAAACTTTTTTGCCATCTCTAACCCATTGGGGAAAATTTAACTTCATTTCCTGTCTGTCACCAAATAAAACGAAGTCCCCTACCAGACTATTGTCTTCAGATTAAGTGTCTCCCCCACTGGAAGATTTTATATCTAGCCCTGTTCTGGTGACCACTCAGAATTCTGCATGTTCCCTTGTGTTTAGTCCTGGGGAGAAGTTGGGAAGCCCATTATAACGCTACCTGGAACTTAAAAAAAAAAAAAAAAAAAAAAAAATGTTTTAACTTTAGATATGCTTTAAATCTGGACGAGTTCTTTTTAGTTGGCCTTCATTCAGAAGATATAGAGAATGAGAAGCCTGAAAGCTGTGTGCTGTACATATTGGTTTTAAAGATCTTTTTCCAAGATTTGCATGCTGTTAAATTATTGATAATGTATTAAGAGCTCTCTAAATTTATGAGCAGCTTTCTGTCATGGAGACTAAGTGTGTCCTAAATCATTTGATCCATCATTGTTGGCTAACTTATAAATATGTTTGTGTTTTAATAAATACCCTAAAAGTGGAAGTTGGTGTTTTTGTTTACTTACTAAACTGTATTGGGCAGGTGTTTTTGCAAATGAGAGATTTACCCCTAATTGCTGTGATGGTCACTAAAACGGGATACGTTAACAAAAAAAAAAGTCTAATAGCGCAATAATTGATCAGTTTTACGCAAACATATTTAAGCTTGTCCATTAACGCCTAACACCATGTTTCTTGGAGTATTTAAGTAGTTTGCTTGGGCCAAGCTGGTCCAATCAAACTGTTTCCTTTAACACATGCAGTGGCTGTCAGCACTGCTTGAACTTTATGTACAGCAACCCGTTGTATAATCACTTGTTGCATTGCTCTAAGTGCCTTTTATAATACTGCTCCAGTGATTCACTATTTCAAAAAGGGTGCAGATGTCCAAAATGCTCAATCCAGACAGAAATGCAAACGTGGTGTGAGGACACTGCACACTGCCAGCTCAGTGCATAATACTGTATGAAAACTGCCTCCGCTCCTCCTTGGCCATGTCCTCTGATGCATTTCATCCAGCCCTGGGGCTTAATCTGGGTGGGGCGAAATATGTCAGTGTTGCCAAGGAGGAGCTGAGCTTGCATCCATATTTCATACAGTATTACACACTGAGTTGGTGCTGTGTGGCGTTCCTGCACCATATGAACTGTATGTAGCTGAGGCTACATACAGCATACATTGCTGTGTTCTGGCATCGAGACTTAATGTCATCCTTCTGTCTCTCCACCGCAGCCTATTAGAGCAACGATAATTCTTGTGAGCTGCTATGGTGTATTCTATAAATAGAAATAATAATTTGAGTGAATCTATAAAAGAATCGGTTAATAAAATTCCACCAAAAAATGAAAATAAACAGTGGAGTAAATGAAATAAACTAGTGTGTAAAATATTTAAATAAATAAGTGTGTCGCCTACACTATACACATACTAGTGTGTCACCATAAATAAATCAAAAAGCAAGGTGTCGAGCTCCACTAACAATACTAAAGATGTGAAAAATAAAAATAAATGAAAAATAAAAAAAATTAAAATAAATATAATATAATATATATATATATATATATATATATATATATATATATATATATATATATGAATCGCATTAAATAAATAAGTGGGTAAGTCCAACATCAATTCAGCAGCATGATATTGCAATCATGCTGGTACTGCGTGCGTATCTTTGATAATCCGTGACTTAGATGTGTCTTTAAATGGTGTAATAAAAATAACGCATAGTCCACCAATCTTTAAATTATGTGCTCCTTCACCAGTTGTGCTCTCATCTGACCTATATGACCAAACCGTTAAGTGAGGTCCTAAAAGCTTGTGTCCCTTTAATTGGACTCAGATGAATGTATCCCTGTTTCCCAGATGGATGAATGGAGCGTTTCCCTTTTCCCAGCAGGGGGTCTTGCTGCTTCCTAGAGATCTATTTCCTGGAGTCGGGTGGATGGAGTTATCCCTCTTCCCACTAGGGGATCTCTTCACTCCCTTCAGATTTTTCTCTCCATATGCATAAGTACCATGTAATTTAAAAATAAAATATAGTGCCTTATCTTTTTAAAATATTTATTAAACAAATGTAATGCACTCACATGAAATTTGATTTAAACCGCTTTTTATACAAAAATGCAGGATCCTCAATATGTTTGCCACACTCCAATATACTTGCTGTGTAGTTGGCTTTAAGCGTCCTGACGTCAGATTCCCTTCCCTGTGAGGGGCTCTGACAGCTTTTTAAATCACATGGTACTTATACATATGGAGATAAAAATCTGAAGGGAGTGAAGAGACCCCCTAGTGAGTCCAATTAAAGGGACACAAGCTTTACGTAACGGTTTGGTCATATACGTCAGGTGAGGTGAAGGAGCAAAATTTAAAGCTAAGGTTTCACATCTAAGTCATGGAATTCAAAGACACGCACGCAGCATCAGGCTGAGCAGTACTCAATCCAACTTTGATTTTATGTGGGAAGTCTGTCCTACTACTGGGACACAGCCCTGTATACTGTATGTAGCTGATGCTATGTACAGAAATCCGCTCTAGCCCATCCACAAAGCTGCTAAGGTCCCATTCACACTTTTGCATATTGGAATTGGCAGCATTGCGCAATTCTGCCTGCAATTCCAGAATCGCAGCAAAACATGCAAGACATCACTCAGGTTTGTAACGTGGCCTAAAGAAAAAAATGTAATGTGATGCTGGAAAAATAAGGTGCTGGCCTTCTTGTAAGGTAAGGTGGGGGGGCGAGGGAGAGGGTAGTGATCTTAGAGGCCAGGTAAGCAATTAAACTGATGTGTCTAATCGGCTACACTGGAGACCAGAAGAGAGATTTGGGGTCTAATAGACCATAAAGAGGACATATTACGGTCCATGCTTTCACAGGGAAAGTTGTTCTTCCCTTGCAAAAAAGTTGATTTAAAAAAAGTTTCAAATAAATTAAATATTAAAAAATTAAAAAAAAACCCGCTAAAGTGCCCCCCCCCCCCATATGCTTTACACGCAAATGCATATGTAAGTCTCGCACACACAAATGTAGACTGTGATCGCACCATACTCCTGAGGTATTGTAGTGAATGTCCAAGCGAGAGCAATCATTTTAGCTCCAGACCTGAGTAACTCTAAACTGTTAATCTGTAATGGTTTTTAAAACATCGCCTATGGAGGCTTTTAGGTACCATAGTTTAGCGCCGCTCCACGGGTGTATGCAATTTTTAAGCATTACATATTGGATATTTATTTACTTGGTGTAACATCTTTTCTATTTAACAAAAAAATAGGTATTATAAAGTATTTGTGTGAAATAACATTAACTTAAATGTATTTTTTTCCCAACAAATTGTGTTTAAAAAACTGCTGCCAAATAATGTGTGACATAAAAAATTGCAACATCCACCATTTTATTCTCTAGGACTTCTGCTTAAAAATGTTT